CCCGGTTTCTAGCGTTGTAAGTCCGCAGACATACCGCTGTGCTACTGGGGGGCGGGTTTTTATGATCTTATATAGATATTATAATAAATCATTTTACTTAACGTAAAAAATTAATGACGATAATATTACTTACGTTTATTATATAAATTTAAACTACCAATAAATAAAATCCTTTTTAAAAAGTTACTAGTCTACGATCTATGCTTCAAACCTTTCTCTGCCCTTACACTCTCTTAAGCCAGTGGTTCTTAACCTTTTTTCTCTATGCCCCACCTCGACACCTCAAAAAATTTGATGCCCCCTTAATACAAAAACAAATTTGGTGTTGAAAAGGTATAATAATATAATGTAACATTTTTCTTATTGTCGCATTTTCATATTGCCCCACGTTCAAAATCAATGCTCTTAAGCTTTATGCCATGCAGTAATGTTAATAAAAATATAAAAAATCAAATTATAATCTAAAATAATAATAAGTAAATACACAATACCGGATAAAATAATTTACGGTAAAATTGAAATTCACAATAACGTTAGTTTTGGACTAAAGAGAACGTGAAATATCAAACTAGTTTCCATGTAAAATTGTTATTATCCCATTATTGTGGATTTTAACTTTATTGTAAATGATCTAAAATGTATGAAGTAGAATGTTTGAATCGGTTGTTAAAGGAGCCTACTAAATATACGTTTATGAAATATTATTGCAAGTTTGGTTTGTTTTTTGTTAAGCACAAAAACTACGCAACGGGCTATCTATGCTCTTCCCACCACGGGTATCGAAACCTGGTTTTTAGCGTCGTAAGCCTGCAGACTTACCGCTTAGTCAATAGGGGACATTATTGCAAGTTATTTATTCGTTTCCATTTCAGGTTAATTTTCCTTTAAACATAAATGTGCTACACCAGTAATTCTCCGATTCTGCGTTTTTTCGCGTTTATTTTTTGTTAATGTGCACCATTCTGCGCTCTTTTCTCGTGATACAAAGCTTCGTTATGCAGAACTAAAATTGGACTACGAAGTTATACACTGGTGAACATTGAAATTTCATATTCAGGCCAAAGTTTTATTTGCAACAACTGAGTAAACGTATACTAGAGTAGCTAAATACAAATGTAAATTACAATAGAAAGCGTCTATAAAATGAAATTACACGTTTGGCGCGTTATCTTAAATTTATTATAGGGGTTTCTTGATAAATAGAACTCAAAAAATACGTTCCAGATCTGAAAAATAAAAAAGTAATAAACTTGTGATAAAATAATAGTGTTTTCCTAATTGTGGACCTATTTAGTTCGAAGTGATTATTGTTGATATTATCTTCGTATGTTAGAAAGGCCACTACATACAAAATGTAGAAGCAAGACTGGAAATGTTTATGAAGTATTTTAGTTACTGTTCAATTTAATATCATTCCCGTTACTTCAGTACCTCGAATTCACCTACAAAATATTTTGTTGTACGTATAGGTATATTGGTTCGGCCCTCTGGCGGGAGCAGTTGTAGGAGGACTGATTTATGAGTATATTTTTGATACCAAGAAAGCTATCAAAACACTCAGAGAAGCCATCGATGAAGTTGATAAAGGTATGCTATAAATAAGAATAATAATTAGCATATCTCATTTTATTGGATTAAATTTATTTCTATTTAATTACAGATATTTGACATTCGCATTACAAATAAATAGATGTTTAAAATCGATAAAACGATCATGTGGACCGATAAACCAAAGTTTTTGGTTCACAGAACTAACATTCTATCCTTTAGACAAAACTATGATTCTGTTTGTTGTTTTTGGACAATTAACTGGGCGAGTGTAAGATGCATAAGTTGTATACAAGTTTATTAAATCCGGAGAATTTAAGACATCTTCTGTTTCTGATCTCATTTATAAGTTTTTTTTTCAAATTTGAACGTAATCTACTTGACTGCACTATTCCATTTTATTTTTTTTTTTTTTGGTGAACTTAAGAACAAGTATTATTCCAGGTTTAGTGTTAAGTAAAAAAATCGCTTTAATAACGTTTCTAAGAAGTTATGAGTGAAAGCAAAGAACATTCTATATAAATATAATAATACTGTCTGTTGTATGTCCATGTAACTACTTCGAAGGGTGTGGATGGATCTTCATCAAAAATTGTGTGGATATTCATTAGGTCCATGTGGGGATAAATACAAATTTTCAGTTTTGTATTTTGCGTTTTTTACCACTACTTTTCCCCCCTGTTGATGAATATTCACCAGATTTTCCCTGTTTTTGTGGGCGTTTTTGCGTTTTTACAATCACATATAAGGGAAGCAACTTTTCATGTCCTAAGATAACTTTCATTAATCATGAATTTATATAACTTCCGTCAAGGAGACGGGTACTCCAGCTAGTATGTAATAATACAGTCTTGGACAAAATGTTTGTATACTGTTGTGTATTGATGTTATTGTTTACAAGCATGGAGTAGTTATTGAGTAAATGCCCGAGTAGTATTAGAGAAGGTAGCATATGATCGGACAAACATATACGAGTTGTTATTCTGATCTGTATAAGGTATTTGAGCAAAACACACATACACATGTTTTGTGTAAAAGGGTGTGCTTTTGGTATAATCTCTTTTGAAACAGATCAACGGTTTGTTCAGAAAATTTTCCTGTACTTGGCTTAGAGTCATGCCTCATCAGGTTACAGAGCACCAAATTGTTCGACTATTCAGAAATGGTATGAAGAAAACGGAAATTGCCAATGAACTGTATCCAGAATCCTGAATCGTCAGCGGACTACAGGAAACGTTGTTTCAGGAAATTCTACTGGTAAACGCCGAAAAACTACTGTCGAGATTATCGTGTTTTGATCTGGTTAACCCTTTCAGCACGGGCTCGGTCCGTCGGACCGACCTCGTAACCATTGTGTGCTTGTAATAGTTTTCATGCTATAACTTTTAATTAGTAAACGTATGTTAACGAAATTTGTCAGATTATCAGGTAACATTACAGTGATTTCATACGCAAAATATACATTTTTTTACTAATTCTTAAGGTTTGTTAAGCAGTGTTTTTCTCATACCTCTTTTTCTTCTTTTCACATGTTACCTATCCAACATGCAAAGTAATTTTCATTTTAAGATTAAATATATATTTATGTATCAGAAAATTTTCAAATTTCACATGCGAAATCTATATAATGTCCAGATAGTTATCAAACGTTTCATAAAGAAAACTTTATTTTATCTGTTATTTTCACTAACGAATATCTACGGGTTCAATAGATTTGACCAATCTCGTAACCAACATAAAAAATTAGGAACTAAACTGTATTCAATAATATACAGTTGACCCTTAGGCTTTAGTAGACTAGTATTTTGTAAAATACACTAACATTTCAACTATTATACATTATATATGTATATCGATTAATAATATTTAGAAATAACTTATTAAACTTAATTTTCTTACAACATAGAAGCAAACAATTATCTCTTCCAGTTTCGACCTTTGTAGTCAGTTGCTGCTTGACATAGGTTTCTAAGCATTTTATAACTTCACACGTAGAGGATATGAAATCAAATACTTTGTTTAGGTTTTTGTATACAGTTGAATAAATTATAATTGAATACTATATCGATACCATATAATTTCACTGTAATTTATCAAGCTAAGTAAATAAGCTCTATTTCGGCCAGCTGGTTAGGAGTATACAAGTTACATATGTAGATGTTTAATATAACATGCATTTCTCAGCTGGACAGCTCTAAGTGTATTTGTATTCCATCTTGATAATAATAATGATTTTTTTTGTTACGAAATATGCAACCATTTTGGCCAAGACTGTATGTGAACAATGCTACATCTGCAATATCCCGTGATAGCGTAGACCTATCGTCCGATACCAGGACTCATCCAGCTAGTTTGGATAGAATATCAATACGATACGCATAACATATATTTGACCAAGACTTAATTATGTATCCTATATTGTTATCTTCTTCAAAAGTCGAGGTTTTCTGTGGGTTTTAATCGAAGTTCTCATCTTTCAATCTGAACGTTTTGTGCATATTTAGTGCAATTAACAGCTTAGTATCTCGAGTTAGTGTACAACTATATAATAATGTGAAACTCAGAATACAATTTAAACTATGCATTATGGAAATGTCAGTAAAATTAGTTGTAACTTAACAGATTATTCAACATTTCTTGTGATTTTACACTTGTATGCATTACCTGGAAAACGAATAAAAGTAACAAATATTTTGATTGGTGTTTTAGATAAGTTACCTACAGAAAACAAATAATACCACTGGTTAGCATTCCCATATAAACAGCAAAATTTCTTAACTATTTCTAACCGATTACGTTAGAGTATTTTTTCATTAATTTAATTATCAGTTGATGAGTAACGATAAACAAATGTTCCTGTTTATATTGTGGACCTCTTCTCAATATTAATTTTAATTTCTTGAGAGACATATTTAGCGAGCTTGGCGTCATTTGATTAAGTGAAAATAGGTAAAACTTGGTGGTTGGTTCTAAGGAACAAGTGAAACTAATCTTCTGCACGAAGTTCTAAATATGTTTCTTTACATATTTCATCATATGATGCAAAGTTCTTAATTATCTAGGGCTTCTTGACTAGAAAAATACTGTCTGTTGGCCTGAGTGGATCAGAGAGATGCAGCGAATGCTTGTTATTAAAACATAAAATTACTATAGTGCATAGAACGAAGTACATCATCTTGTTTTAGATTTGAAGAGTATGTTCCTCAAACAGCCATTACCTAACTTTGGTATTTAATATATATATATATATTAATTGTCATTTTCTTCAGCAAGGTTGATCAACTTTTAAAACACCACATGAAGCGAGTGGCAGTGTTGAAGTTCTTCAGCATCCTTTATCATATACCACTTAGCTCAACTGCATGTAAAACACCCTATGAGTATTCGTTCATTGCAATACAAAATTAAGTGAACTAACGATTACTTTGCAACTTTTTTTCTTTGAAAGATTTCAAGAAAAATTTTTATATTAGAATCACGCTAGAAACTTGAGTAATATTTTGGTTCTACACAATTATATAATTTATAATAATACAAGTGATTTTCAGTATAAAGCAAGAAGTATGCTTGTATTTATAAAAAACAAAGTCGTTACTTACGCAGGAACTACGGTCTAAATCATATTTTTATTTTTGTAGATCTTTTATTTTGTATTTGTACTTACGGCAAAGCTACTAGAGCTATCTGCTGCCGTTCCTAACGTTGAACTACTAACCAGAGGGAAGGCAGCCATTCAATAGCTTCTTACCACCCACCATCTATACTAATGGATTGACTGTCACGCTTATAAACACCCACAGCTTAAAGTGCAAAGAATTTTTAGTGGTATCACAAGGATTCAAACCTCGTTCGCCAATTCCGAAATCCAGGGTCTACCATAGAGCTAGTCCTCGCCTTGACCCTGTAAATCATATTAGCTGTAATAAAATAAGTTCGGAATATAAAATCAATAAAATATTATTGATAACATCATTCAACTTAAAGCTGTTTTTATTTACATACAAATATTTTAAAAGTGGCTACACCAATTTAATATACTTCGTAGTTTGCGTTTAATAAAGCATTTATTTTAAGCGAGTATAATAATGTTAGATAATTCCTAATAAATTGATTATTTGTATTCCCAATCGATAAAATTTAATCCATAATCACGATTTTGTTCAGGTTCGAATTTTTAAACGACTAAAAATTTACAGAGTATTTATTTATTTAAATTAATTGTCGATAAAGTTAATGCAATTAAAATAAATAGTGGAAGCAGATAATAATAGCAATGTTCAGAAAGATGCTTTGAAGAGAACTAAAATCAAAACGTGCTAAACACGAAATATATAGAGAAGATCGAGTAAGTTATATTAAAACGATTTTGAATGTGCAAATCAGCAAGTCACGTTACAACCACAGCCAATATAAAGTCACGGTGGAACGGAAGGTATTATAACTATATTTTGACATTGATCGATTTGAAAAAGTATGTAGCAAATTATTCGCACACTTAGACTATAAATATGAGTTCATAATGGGGATTTAGAATTTCTAAGACGGGGGATATCCCTTGTACTTAATGTCGTTGGTAAAAATTGGAATATGGATCAACTTTGGAAATTATGACCATCTAGAAAGAGAGCTGCAGGATCAACTTTGGAAACTATGACCATCTAGAAAGAGAGCTGCAGGATCAACTTTGGAAACTATGACCATCTAGAAAGAGAGCTGCAGGATCAACTTTGGAAACTATGACCATCTAGAAAGAGAGCTGCAGGATCAACTTTGGAAACTATGACCATCTAGAAAGAGAGCTGCAGGATCAACTTTGGAAACTATGACCATCTAGAAAGAGAGCTGCAAGATCAACTTTGGAAATTATGACCATCTAGAAAGAGAGCTGCAACTAGTTGTATCTCACCCATAGTATCCAAAGATTGGCATTTTATAACAAGTGAAAATCTAAAAATCATAAAGATCAGTGGCAAAAGCCGTCCACATCTCAACAGAACGTAACATAATCAAGAAGGATCCCAGTTTGAACACAAGGCTAACATGGTATGGGTTTAACAACATAAGACTTTCAGCCATACCTTCCATTCAGTCGTCTGATGTCTCAATCAGCTAGATAATGAAATTGGTATTCATATTACTACATATGTAGACCAGTCGATCAAGTCGCCGGACGCAGCGTCTATAGATTTCTGTGCGATCAAACTGTTGAAATGAGTGTTGGGAAACCGTCGTCCTTGTACTCTAGATGAATTATGGAATGCAAACAGGGGAGATTGGTGTGCTTTACAACAGCCTTATAACATCTTCTCGCAATGGAAACTATGTTCTGAGGTATTGTGAAGATACGCAGTCGTCAGACAGAACATGACCGGACGTTGCAACATGGACTCTACATGGTAAAGCTACAAAATGTTTTAATAAAACGTATTGAATTTTGTTCAAGTTGTAGTACGCCAACTGTTATTGCTATATCAACAATTAAATATTGGCGAACTCTTACTTGCAAACTAAAATAAGATATATATATATAAAAACAACAACAAAGAGTCTTATATTGTTCATCCAACATGCCGTACTGCCCCTACTTAAGGCCCCCCTCCAGGGGCGTTGGAAACTGCAGGAGGGGGGTGATAATTATAGTATTTGTGCAGTTCCGGATTCTATTTTTAACATATGATTTTTTATTTCAATGCTAATAAGTATGTGTGTGTGTGTGTGTGTGTGTGTTTCTTTTTTTCAAATCAAAATTACAGTAATAAAAGTGGATATGTTGGATTAATATTGCCGTCAAAATTACGGCACTAAAGTGGGTTACAGTAGAGGATTATGTGTTGGATTACCATTGCTGTCACACAAGACAAGTTATACATATAGATATATAACGGGGGGAGAGCGATAATTAGAGAGGGGGCATTAATTGGGGGCAATACGGTAAGCTGCTATACTACATTAGGTTGTTTATAACAAACATGAAAACTGTGTTTGACGTATTACTTACTTATCTCCACATAATTTATAATAAATTTTATCATTTGTTTTTCAATCGGCAGAATCTAACCTGGATGAAGATGACTACGAAAATCCTGAAAGATGTAACGTGACCAAAGATGGAGGCCCGCAGACTTCCGGGACTTATGGAGCTCAGTACTACGATCAAACCATAAGGCCCGCTCTCAATACATACTCTCCAACTCATTCTACCTATCCAGTTTTCACAGAGTCCAGCTACGGAACTCACAGTGGCCCCTCCTCCAACTATAGCGGAATATATGGATCTCGTGGTGGGGGTGGTTTCAGAACTGTGCCAGCGCGAATGGAATATGACCCTGGGACTACTAAATTCTAGGTCATGCGCATCCGATGTCCAACTTTCTGTCGTTCTTTAAATATTTATGGCATTTTTTACAAGATCGAGTTTCGACAATGTCTGGATTAAGCTAGTTAGCTATCACCTTGTGCAACTAATTCATCTTGAAGGAGACCAGTATATATGCATAAATATATATATTTATTGGAAAATTAAGATTGCTACTATACAAGATGTGTATCTTAGTTGACTTAGCAATAACAGAGGTAAGAAATTTAAGATAAAAGCAATAAATGAAAAATAAGAAAGAGGTGATTTCTGCTACATAGGGAGAAGTGGGCGAAAAAAGATATCAAGAGTTAACATGGGTATCTTTAATCTAACACTTTTTCATGCAACAGGAGCTGCTATGTTAAAGTAAATTGTTTGTAACAAATGTTCAAGCTGTGTTCGTCGTTCTTTCTGTTGGACTGTTTATGATGACTTTCAAACTTCATTCAAAATGCTTTCAAGTGTTTAAAATTATAAGTAAAGAAATATTTAGTGTCGTGTGTTTCGCATTCTTCAAATATTTATCTGTAAAATTCGTGTTGCATTTTGTGCTTGCAACTCAATATATATTAATCTTATTGAACACCTATAAATGTTGGTTTTATGCCATTTTTCAAAATAAATTATAGTTTATTTGTTATTTTTTTAACTCAAATTCATTGTTTTGTAAGTTACATTGTCATTATAACAACATGCCCCTATACGATAACTGTGCAATTATTTTGAAACAGAAATTTTATTGTGGAAAGTAATTATGTTTAAATCTAATTTTTTACTCATCCTTTTGTTAGGAACTAACAATCATGAAAGTTAAAAATCAACAATTACACAAAAGTGAATAGGGTAGTATAGACAAAACCTATTTTTCACGTTTTAAACTGTATGCAGTAGAACCAAAAGAATTAGAACAAAGTGAAATTTCATTCGAAATGCATAAATTGTACATCTTACCTGTGACTGAGATTAGAACTTCAATAATATTGTTGTAAGCTATATTTTTGATGCTGTAATTTATTTGTTGGCTAGAGGGTCATTGAAAATGTAATGATCCAAAACTTGGCAAAATATCTAGAATGAAGCTTAGATTATTAATACGAGATAGTGTGTACAGTTTGTTTCAAGAAGCTAGAGAGTTACTTCAAGATGGTAGAGTGAAACAGTCACTGTGTAAGCTGTACGGTAATTTTGTGCGAATAAGTTTATCTTAAACTAGAAATTAAATAATAAGTAACTTGTATGTATGGTGTTTAGGAGTCCTTTTTAATCACCATACAGTAACCTCAATTAATTTAGATATGTGAATAATGTTATGACATTTCACTTAATTCATTATTCGCTATTATACAGAAAACCAACTGTTTACTGTTTATATAAAGAGCAAACTGAAGACAAGCCAATGTTTTGTTGGAACATGTAGTATCTTGCCCAAGAATAAATCACTTCGTTGTGCTTATATATCGTTGTTTGCCAGTTTATTATTGTTAACATAATGTGCTTCCTTACTCAAATATAATAATGTACAAATTAAAATAGACTATGTCACCAGTTTCTCAAAAACTGACAAAGCATTTAAAATATGTCTTAGTGCCATTAATTTGAAAATTGAACTGAATTATATAAAAAGCACTGATAACGATAGAGGTTTTAATGTTGGCATTATTGAAGTCATAATATGGGAAAATACTATTCACATTTCATAATGCAATGTATTAGATTAAACAATGTATATGCGAAGAAAATCAATAATGAAATAGTTACCATACGTATGATTGGTTTGTTTTGAATTTCGCGCCAAGCTACACGAGGGCTATCTGCGTTAGCCGTCCCTAATTTAGCAGTGTAAGACTAGAGGGAAGGCAGCTAATCATCACCACCCACCACCAACTCTTGGGCTACTCTTTTACCAACGAATAGTGGGATTGACCGTCACATTATAACGCTCCCACGGCTGAAAGGGCGAGCATGTTTGGTGGGACGGGGATTCGAACCCGCGACCCTCAGATTACGAGTCGAGCGCCCTAACCACCTGGCCATGCCGGGCCCCATACATATGAAGTGTAACCAGCCAAATCGCCAGTGTGTTCAGAAAATATATAAACGTATTCCTGTTTCTAAACCATTTAAGTATAAAAGAAATATTTTAGATTAAAAAAAGTTAATGTTGTAACGTTTTTTCTATTGTTCAGCGGATTCTTTTGGATTATTTATTTAGAATAATGCGAAATCCAGTCCATGTAACAATAACAAATTTATTTATTTCTTCTTTGAAGTTTGCTCTTATACACTTACATATAGGTTTAACTTCAAATACAAGGCCTGGCACGGCATAATGGTTAGAGCACTCGACTTGCGATCTGTGAGTTCGAATCCCCGTCACCGAACATGTTCGCCCTTTCAGCCGTAGGGGCGTAATGACGGGAGGTCAATCCCACATTTCATTGCCTTCCCTTTAGCTATCATTATGGACGACTAGTGCAGATAGCCCTCGGGTAGCTTTGTACGAAATTCAAAACAAACAATTCAAATAAAATTTTTTTGAACAGAAACTACACAACTACTGAAAGCCTAATACACTAATAACGTTTAATAGAAATTTCATTGATTGAAAACAAATCTGATTAACTTACTGATTTACCGACACAAGCACTAACTTTTCTCGTTTAACAACTCAATCAGTCTTTCCTCGATCATCTATTCTTGTATGTATATTGAACCCTCACTTCTACCACATACAAGTAGATTACAGATTCCAGGCCTAAGACTACTTTTACGAACTTTCTAGATATAGCGTCATCATTATGGTTAGCAGCTTTCATTAGGAAACAATTAATAACATCGAAAATATAACTTACAATGGTATATATATGAAATTAGGTGTGAATATAATAAAAATATATTGGCCAGACTAACATTATTGTCGTAGTGAACATTCGATGCAATGGCACGAAACAATCTTTAAATTATCCTATAATTCAAAGAGAATTTAATAAATAACAGAAACTCCTTGTTGTAAATTAGCTCACCTCTGTGGCTCAGCGGTAAGACTCTGGACTTATGGAACAAGAAATCGGGTTTCGATACCTGTGATAGGTAAAGCACAAATAGACCATTGTATTTAACAATGAACATTGCTAAACAGAAATTAAGAGTTATCTAGTATTAATGCACAGCTTTGAAAATAAATATTAATTTATTATATCAATAGCTGTAGTACCCGTCTACTGGACGAAGTTATGTAAATTCATGATTAATGAAAGATTATCTTAGGACATAAAGTTGCTTCCCATATATGTAATTACAAAAATGCCCATAAAAACTGCAAAACACAAAATGTGAAACCGCAAGTTTGCATCTATCTCCGCACAGACCCAACAAACCTTCATGCCAAATTAGGTGAAGATCCATGTACAGGGGGCGAAGTAGTGGTAAAAAACGCCCATAAAAACCGCAAAACTGAAAAATTGTATGTATCCCCTCATGGATCGAATGAACCTCCATACCAAATTTGGTGAAGATCCATTTACAGGGGGCAAAGTAGTGGTAAAAAAGCAAAAACGCCCATAAAAACGCAAAACTGAAAATTTTTATGGACTTAATGAACCTCCACACCACTTTTGGTGAAGATCCATCCACACCCTATGAATTAGTTACACGGACATACAACAGACAGTACTATTATGTTTATTTAGATTCATACTACCTTTAATATTTATAATGAATTAAACCTTCTTCTTATAAAACTACTTGCTTGCCATATTTGTTCCACTTTTGATGATGGCACCATAAAGGTGCCGAAATATATATGCTTTCAGCATTGACCGTTTCTAGATTTAATGTCATAATAAAACATTACATATAAGCGAAGCAGAATTCAGTTAAGTTTATGGACTGGATACATGAAATTTGTCCACTTTAAAAATTGATACTTTTTTTTGTAGGAAACTTTATTAAATGACACAGTAAAAGAAATTGTGTTTGTAATTAAGCACAAAACTACACAATGGGTATCTGTTCTCTGCCCACCACGGATATCAAAACCCGGATTCTAGCGTTGTAAGTCCACAGACATACCGCCGTGCCACTGGGGGCAATAAAAGAAATCCAACCATTGTATTTCTGGCAGATTCACGAATAGTGCTTGTACGCACAATAAATAATAACTCTTGAAAAATTGAGCCACTGAATAACTTTCTATTTCATTTGAACAGGCTTTTAATAACGGACATCCACTAAAGCTATCTGAATTCAGTTGCAAATTTAACTAACGAATTCCAGTGTCAGAATTTAATATATACATACATACATTTTTTCAAATAAACTGTATTACATCAAAAGCATACAGGCGATCACTCAGCACTGTATAGCTCTGACGAAATTATAATATAACCTACAATTTATTTATTGTACATGTAGATGTACGCGCCAACAAAGTTCTAATATAACAATGTAAAATTATACCGTTTGTACAAAAGGTATTATTTTAAAGTGAAAATATCTGCGGTTATAGCTCCCAAAAACATTGGAGATATTCCATCTATCAGACATAATCAAAACAACAGATGCAGAGCTAGTCAGCATGTATCCGAAAAAAAGGGGATTAGGATCTGGGTGATAGAACCCACAACGTGTCCCAGATCCCACTATCTATAGCCGTTTGTGGGTATGATATTTATCCGTAAAAATAACATAAAAATATAAACCAGATATTAAACCACCGTTGATTTCTATCGAAGAACATCATTCAACCTAGTATAGTTACTCCATGATATTAAATTACGAAATATACAACCTTACTGTATTATGTATGTTTCTAATAGTAATATTAACACTTTATCACTGGAAGATATTAATAACTATTCAGTATAGTATAAGCAGTAATACTTCAATAATATTTCAGTTAATAATGCTACTGTTGCGTATCTGCTTGTTTCTTAATTTCCGGTATAAATTCTTTCCGAGGAACTTCAGCGATACATGTCCTTTTTTTAATTAAAACTAGATTATTCTTTCTCGATACAACTGTGTAATACACAGAATTTCCACAGTCACTTTAAACTTAACAACCTTTATAACACACGCTATAGATCACAGTGATTCACATATTTTACTTACGGTGCCTACTGTTCGCTTGACTCAATTATCTATCTCTTATATCTATCTATATCTCTTCAATCACGCTGTTTTTTCTCGCCAGGCTTATATACTAAAAAATAGGGCGCCTCGAACAAACTAGAGTTGCCAGGAAAATTCATGATCCTTCGAGAAACTCTAGCACGCATGCTCTCAGCGTCGCGTGACTTCCGCTGTGGTAACACTGCCCCTTCTTTAGCATTGTTCGTCCCGAGCAATAGCCACTCACATTGAACCAATAGATAATTAACAATAATTTGATTAAATGTACAG